CAGCCACAATTATTATCTTGCTTGACTAGAAATGTACTTTCTCTCTTGATGATCGAGATAACCTGCAGAACGGCGATGTGGAACCCCAATGAAGCGATGATTCTAGGGCTATAAATTTAGTTACACCCCAATGAAGCGATAATTGCCTAGGGACCGCGTATGGAAGCGGTACTACTGCGTTACGTGTCCTTGGGTGCGTTGGTTGCCCAGGACACAGCGCTAGTGCTCCTAATGCGATACACACGACAACAGACAGGGCCAATGTACCTGTCAACAACTGCGGTTTGCTGCATGGAGGCGATGAAGCTCAGCGTGTGTTCGCTGATGCTACTTCGCGGAGAGGCAAAGGGATCATTTCGTGTGCTGATGTCAGTTTTCAAGGAAGAAATTTTAGCTAAACCAAGGGAGGTGGCGAAGCTCGCAGTACCAGCTGTACTCTATTTGATTCAGAATAACTTGCTCTACTTCGCATTATCACATCTGCATGCAACGCCCTACAAAGTGACTTACAACTTGAAAATTTTGACGTCTGCCTTTTTCAGTGTGACTCTCTCAGGTCAGCGCCTGGGTCGGCGTAAATGGATTTCACTCGTGGTGCTGTTCTGCGGTGTTTCAATCGTTCAGATGGATAAGCCAGGTGGTATACAGGCCCAACGCTACGATAATGGCCTTGGGTATCAGACCATGGGTTTCATTGCTGTTTGTGCTGCTGCTGTGACTTCTGGTTTCAGCGGAGTCTATCAGCAGCGCATCCTTCAGAGCTCAAAAACGAGCATGTGGATTCGGAACACTCAGATGGGTATTACTTCTGTGGTACTAGGAGCTTGTGGAACCTTGATCAAGGATCGCCAGGCTATTAGACGCGCGGGTTTCTTCCAGGGATACTCAGCTGTTGTTTGGCTTGTGATATCCCTTCAGGCTTTCGGCGGTCTGAATGTTGCCTTCATCCTCAAATATGCGGATAACATCCTAAAGGGCTTTGCAGCTGCATTTTCAACGGTTGCTTCGTGCATTCTAGAGATGATTTTTTTTCAATTTCGACCCACCTTTCTGTTTCTTGTCGGCAGCACCCTAATCAACATAGCGGCATACGCCTACAACTTGTCATGCCCAACGCGCGCTGAGGAAGTTTCTCCAAGGACCTATGCCGTCTAGGCTCAGCACAGGGCTCATGCCGTCTAGGCTCAGCACAGGGCTCAGACAGGGCCGTGACGGCCAGCTACGAAAGGCCAAGTGGACGGCCCGTCCCTGGCATTCTTTGGATCAACCAACCTAGCCCAGCCTCCCTTTGTGGGGGGAGTTTACCTTGTTCTCCTTTAGGTGGGCTAGTGGGAGCTATGGAGACCAAGTGGGCGGAAATTGCAATTGCATTTGCCACGGGTCGTAAGTTGAAGTGGATACCCTGGTCTGGAATAAAATTGCATTTACGGCAGCACAATATGTTTCCGGTAACGAGTTAGTGAGTTTAGACCACCTATCATCATTCAGCTAAATAAAACTGCTGGCTGTGGTATGGAAGACTTGGCCTCCAGTCCGGCCCCCTTATTCCATATTTGAAGGGTGGAGTCGTTTGCCCTTATTATTGTGCAGGAGTGTGGCTGAGGTGGCTGCGCCATCCGAGCGCGGTCCGTCGGCCTGATTTAGACCACCTATCATCATCCAGCTAAATGAAACTGCTGGCTGTGGTGGTCCTCTCCCAGCTCGCCGCTTCCCCGGGGACCGGGGTGGCGCGGCCCGTCATCCCACAGCCTGTGGATGACACTAAAACGATTCGCACCCGCGTTCGCAGCTATGGAAATGCGGCTATTGCCACCACAATAGGTTAGCATGCAAACCCTCAGCACCTCAAACCTACTTAACATCAGCGGACCGGACGGAGACTTGCTGCCGCTCCGCTTTGTAATTCCGCCCATTAGCTTCGCTACCTGGCTATTAGCTGCCGAAATTGACTCGGCTGTTGCGGTGTTTATCCCTTCCAGGGCCTGAATCAGCCTAGCAGAGTGGGCCGGCTGTCCACCCGGAGCCGGTGGGCCTGCACTCGCTTGAGGAAACAGGGGGCCACGGTCCAGCTGCTTATCGAACAAAACAAATGTAAAGAATCTAAGTCCCGTACATCAACTTGACGTTAAGGTACAGTCCGTAGTAGCAGGATAAGCACAGTGGGTGAGAGGGGGAGCTCAGTGTGCTACCTTACGGTAGCTCAGTCATAAGATAGTAACTGATTATAAAGAAGGGGAACGGGAAGGAAGGCCTAACTAGGGTAGGTACAGTACTAGCATGATGGTAGTAGGGTAGTGGTAGTGTAGCGTACTGTACTACAGTATAGTCATGGAGATAGAGAGATAGAGAGAGAGAGAGAGACATCAAGGTCAGTCTATATTCTTTGCAACAAACTGAGCTCACCCTCCCCTTGAGGGAGGATTTTACTTTGCTTCCTTTAGCTCAGGAGCCTGCTAGTGGGAGATACGAAAGGCCAAGTGGACGGAAACGACCCCGACAATTTTGGGTCGGCTTTACTCAGGCGCTGGGGGGCCGGGCGGGGCCCAAACTAGAACGCGTCGAGTTTCCCGCGTTCGCCCTACCCTGAGGTGGCTGCGCCATCCAAGCGCGGTCCGTCGGCCTTCATTCTGGCTTCGAAGATTACCTGTACCAGCAGCCCCGTAGCGAGGTCACGGGGTCGGGGATTTCATCACCGAAGCCCGGAGCCGTCGCGAGAACCGCCGCCAGCGCGTCCCGCGCTGGCAAGGTCTCCGCCTGTTCACTGAACGGGCGCCCCCTCAAACCCTCCGGGATCGGGTTGGTTCTAACCATGGCTGCCGCTTCCCGGACCTACAGTATGCCCCCTTTCAAGAGAAAAATTCCGCCGGCGGGCTGCTTTAGCAACGCCGGCCAGATAAAAGCGTAAGGAGCGAGTATCGACTGGGCTGCAATAATAAATCGCAGCTCATTCTCTCTCTCTCCTTTGGGCGCTACTTTCCTGGCTAATCGAAGATTACCTGTACATATCATATCCTGTGGAATAATCATGGCCGAATCCGCTGATCAGACAGACGTTGCCATTGAGAGCGATCGATTCTCTGCAGACTTCGAGTTTAAATTGGAACATGCGTTTAGTGGAGCTTTGTTAACTCCGTGGTCTGACCACTTGGTGTGTTCTGCGGAACTAGGTGAGACCTGGTCAATGATGGAGTTGTCTGTTTGGCACGTATCTCAGGGTAAGGAAGAACTTGCTCTCATGTGGCTTGAGTGCATGATGCGGGTTCAGATCGACATGTGCATGTTGACAGCTGAGTCCTTATCTCTTGGGACCTCCACTTTGTGTACGTTCGTGGATGAGTACGTCCACTCTGGACAAAGGATTGCGCGTATGAAGCTGCTAAGGGCAATCGCGCAGTCGTCCAATCGCCCTACAATAGACTACAATTCTCAAATGTCAGTTCTGACATTTCCTGAGACGAATCGTGCGGAGGGCCGTCTACCATTGGTAATTCGAGATCTCACTCAACGTGCATATGGAGATGTCCAACGGTGGGCGGGACGGGCTCTAATCAGTCATAATGTATCAGACTCGGTGCTCACGTGTAAATCACATACATTCCACTTGGCAGCGAGAGGGCTCTGGGGCGGTGTATTGTCATTTGCGGGCGCATTGCAAGTAATTCGGCGACTTCCAATTCAGTCATTGCCTATAAATGATTGCATGAAACAAGCGTTAATGATTGTTGTTGTTTCTGACCTCGAGGAAACTCAACGACACTTCGCTCAGGCAGTACGGCGAGCGACTTGGATCTATTGGACCTTGAGCTTGAATAGACATCATAGGTTCATTCCTTCCCCCCCTAACGGTGTTCTGGACGCTGTACACATATTTGCAGCCGCCAATCTTCTCGACGAGGAGATATTCCAACTTGCCGTCAGGGTTATGTGTCGGTGGGCGAAAGCTCTGGACTTCGTTCGTACTGGTCGACCACACCCACCCGTGGGACCAAATCTGAAGACATATGGGGAGCTCCGGGATGATGTCCCGCATATACTTTGGTGCTCTACTCACTGGAAAGTTCTCTACAAACCCGCCATGTGGGCCGTCTCCTGGAGTGTGCAGATCACATCAGATTTTTCCAAAGTTGAACGCCACTGGGTGGAGTCACAAAAGTCCTTGGGACAGTTCGCTCCTCTGGATTGTGACCTTGATCCATTTGGTCCGGTTAGTCAGCCAGCAAAGTCTTGTGATCTACTCCACTGGCTCCTGCGGTCTCCCAAGGGACTCCACACGATCCAGACCGACCGTTGTCTAAGCTATGGTCTGTCTCACCGGCTCGATGCACAAACTTCGGGTCCACTTGTAATCGCTCGATCTTACTGGGGTTGGGCCTGGATCCAACTCCAATTTCGCGCAAAACGAGTGATGAAGCGCTACATCTGCCTCTGTCACGGTCGCGTTGAGCCGGCATCTGGAAAGCTCATCTGTTGGCCACTAGTTCGAAGGTCTATTCCTGGTCGCCTTTCCATGCGTTCTGTCATCTCTCGTGGTGGAATGCGCGCTGTCACAGAGATCGCCGCGGTTGCGCACTTTCTTGGTCCGCCGAGGTATCATGGTAAAGACCCTCAAATCGTCGCTATTAACAGTAGCAGCGAACACCGCATCTACAGTCTCGTTGAAATACGCCTGTGGACCGGTCGCTTGCATCAAATCCGTGTGCACATGGCCGCTGAGGGCCATCCACTTGTCTCTGATGCTATGTATGGTGGTGGGCGATTGTGCTGGTGTCCACGTTTCTTTCTGCATTGTTTTTTAATAGGTGTGCCCTCTGGCGTCAACCAAGATCACGTCAAGATTAACTGCCAGCTACCAGGCGACCTCCGCCATGTCCTCCGCAAGATGGAAGCGTGCGATCACGCATCGCACGACCTCTTGAACAGCTGGTTGGGTTGTGGTGGTGATCCTTTTACTGATGGTTTTCTTGTCACTAGACTTGTTGATGGGAGGTGGCATGGTCGTATAGTCCGCGCCATTGATAAAATACAAAAGCTGCCGGGGCTTGTTCGTTTCAAGAGTAATGACCGCGTCTACACCATTCCAATTGCTTTTCACGACTGCAGTTGTGCATCGGGCACCATCGTCCACTTCCAAGTAGTCGGAAGACGGACAAACGCACACGCAATAGATGTTCGAGCTTATTTAATGTAAGAATAAAGAGCATGCCAAGAGGAAAAATGCATCTACCACCAGGATAATTCAAAACACCCCGGTCTAGAGCTGGAGGGCTGGTAAAAATTCAGTCGCTTTTGAAGCCGAAGATACAACACAACATACAAACTATATATAGTTGCTCTGTGGCGCGTGTGCAAATCCATGAGCAAATGCACCCGCACACATCCGGACCCGGCTCCAAGCAAGCCAATTAAGGTACCCCCCAAGCATACTCAGCACACTCTGGCCCCTACTAATATCGCCCCTAGTCTGCTGGAGCTCATGGGCTGGCACCAAGGCCCTGTTGAGCGTGGTATCAGTAGCGGGTATCAGTGGGTCCCGGCGGCGATCCGGAGCGAGCCGTATTAGTACGGCGCATTTTCCCGCCTGTCATCTTGTAAACTTGCTGGAGGCTACTCGCTTTTTTGTCAGCGTTTTAAAAATTGCCTGGGTGGATGGCAGCTTGTTTGCGGATCACACTGATTGGGATCCCAACTCGACTTGGTGAAGATTAAAGGGTCGAGCGCAGTCGCTTGTTGATTCAAGGACGAAGGGCATCCATAGCCTTCTCTAGGATGTCCTTGCGGATCTTAGGATAGTCTGGGTACAAGTTTAAAATCTTGTTGGATATGTCTATCGCCTCGACATATCTTTTTGCCTTGAGGTAGTTGAAAGCAAGTTTGAATCCGACAGTAGCAGAAGCCCCGTGCTCGAGGAGCCACGCCTAGTGTCGATAAAAACAAAAAAAAATAAGTTCATTTCATTTGGTGCGGGGCAAACGGCTCAAGTTACATCTCGAACAGAAGTGTTGAAGTCAATAGATGGGCTCCAACTTACCTTCTCGTACATGTCTGCAGCATCCTTGTATGAAGCTTCCTTCTCGCGGATGACACCCATGGTCTCCCAGGCTCTTCCACAGCTTAGATTGTACTTCAAACAGCGGTTGCAAAGGTCCTCACTCAGGTCAAATTTGGACTTCTGGATGTAGATGTCAGCTAGCAACAAATAGCCTCTTTCAAAGTCATCCGCAAGCTCATGCGAGTATGGCATCTTTGCAATGCGCTTGAGTGCATTCCGTGCTTTGGTTGTAGATTTCTCGAGCATGAATGTCGTGGACATGCCAAGCAGAGCCGGGAGGTAGTCCTTTTCCTTCTCCAGAATATCGATAAATATTTGCATAGCGTGGTCGATCTTGGGTTTTGATCGGGTTGCGAGGTAGGTGTAGGCCTCCAGTACACTGGTCTTAAGTTGCAGACCTTCCGGAATAACAAAGGTCTTTAACTCTTTAAAGAGGTGGTCTGCAACCGTAGCCGCCTCAGAGTTCTGCTCGAGCTCAACGCTGTTGTCCCACCTGAATAATACCAGCAAAAAGATTAAGTATGTAAATACTATTGTGATCACACTTCAAGTAGCATAAACACGGGATTGATCTCATCGCCGCAACCCGCTGAGTTTCATTGTCTGGATTCAGGTAGAGTTCGATCATGTTTATGAGGGCAAGAATGCCCCACTTACCATCGCGCCTCGCTAGGTTGAAAAATTTGACCGCCTCGACGACGTCATTTGTATATCGACAGTGGAGACCTTTACAATAGTTCAAACCCGGATGGGAGAGTGCGCGCGCATTTGCCCGTTCAGCAAGCTTGAGAAATCGAGGAACATCATAAAGCCTTCCAGCACTGCGCAATAGCCTGATAAGTTTACTTAGGGCGAGGTAATTATTCGGCCTTTGCTCAAGAAGCTTGCGCAGGTTTGCAGCAGCTGCGTCATGGTTTTGTTTTAGGAAGTTGAGGTCGGCGAGGAGCATGGCGCATTCCTCGTGATTCACATTTATGCGGAGGAGCGCAGCGCACTGCTGCTCACAGTTATCAAAATTGTGCTGTCTGAGCCAAAGCCTCGCAAGCTCTAGCATGCAAATCTCATTCACCTGAAAAGTTGTCATATCAGAGGTTACGATAACGTTGTGTGATGAATGTGGTGAAATCTGCAGCTCTCATGTCAAATCGGCTCAAAAACACGCGTATTTAGCACTCCATAATTCACATTATCTGCTTTGAGTGCTTCCTGGTAAGATGCGATGGCCTTGTGCTCAAGTTTGTCCTCTTTCAGGTAGAAAAGGGCGAGCTTACGACAAGTTTCGGCCATAATTTTTTTCTGTTCGTTCAAGACCTCGGGGGTTTCCATCCTCGATCTGGTCCGCTCTACAATTGTCCGTTGCAAATCACGAGCCCTCAGCAGCGTCTGCGCAATTGAATGATCTGCGCCAAACATGTTATCCTCGGCTTCCTCATCTGCGCCACACTCCTCGGCACTCATATAAATATCAGCAAGCAGGAGCAGGGACTGAACATCCTGAATCATTTTAGGAAGCTCGGTCGACACACCTATTGGCTCCAGGGCGTACGTGAGTACTTGGACAGCACTACTTCTTTAGTTTCATGAAAAGCTTGGCAAGGTCGTGCCTCAGATTGATGTCATTCACATGGGATCGAAGGGGCGTGATGTATAATCAGTAGCTTTAAGGTAGTCGTGTGTAGAAATGAGAGCACGGCCAATTTTAGCAGCAAGCGACGCGTCACGAGGGTCAAGATTTTGAGCTTGCTCGTAGGCCTCAATGGCTGCCTCGGGAGCCTGGATATGCATGTATGCAGCACCGAGACGCTCGTAGGACCGGGCACTTGGATCAAGACCAACCAAATCACGAAAGCATTGTGTATAAGCACGCTTGTCGTGCCTCACATCAAGGTAGAAATTAGCCTTGGCCTGCTGGGCGTGAACATAGGCTGACGACGACTGCGGAACCTCGTTCAGCATTTGGATAGCGCCATCAAAGTCATTGCGTTTGATTGCAAGTAAGGAGTTGGACATGAGAACTCTGATTTCCTCTGAAGTACCTCTAAATCTTTCCTGTGCCTCTGCCAAGATGTTCATAGCCTCGTGGAATTGGGAAAGAGTGGCCAGGGTGTCTGCAAGATCCACGAAGACTGCCGCACGCTCGGCAAGAGCAACAAACCCCGGGGCACCGGCTGGGATACAGTCCCTAACACCTGGAAGCCGCAGTGCTTCCTGGAGAATTTTTAGGGCGTCGTCGTGATCACCCTCGTAGGCACAGAGTTTGGCCTTAACCAGAGCGTACGATGGGGCCTTGCGCACCTGAAAGTCACAAGCAATTGCTTGTTCTAGGGCATTAGTGGCACCTCGGTGGTTGCTTTCGGCTAGGGCTAGCCGAGCCATGAGGAGGTGTGCTGCAGCAGATTGGGAGTCAAGGCCTAGGGCGAGGTTAAGAGTCCGAGTTGCTGCCTTGAATTGTCCTATGGCAAAACGTGCATGGGCCACCAACAAGTGAGCTTCAATTAGTCCGGGGACCTGACCGCTCACACGCTCCAATATCTCAATGCCGCGGCTCACAGCATCAGTTGGCGCACTCGAACCCACTGGACTGCGTGCAGATGAATTATCCTCAAACCGCATGTGTTGAAGGTACTCTTTAGCAAGTTGAATGAGGAAATCAGGATCCAACTTGAAGAACATCTCAAATACGTTGGTTCCGCCTCGGTCAGTTAAACCGCGGAAGTGGATTCTTTCGGCCTGTACTAGCAAATTAATGTTCTCTACGGCGTTCCCGCTGCGTCGCCAAGCAATTAGTGCTTTGAGATAGGGCAACTGTGGTGACTGGTCGATAGAATCTGAAATTGCCGTAATAAATTCCAATTGCTGTTCTGCATCCTCCAATTCTCCAGTCATCACCTGGCAATAAATAGTGCCATAAAGTGCAGCAAGATTAGTTTCATCACTTCGGCCTGCGTCTCTATACATCTCCATTGCGCCAGCATAATCACCGAGCATGGACTTCTCGTGAGCCAGCTCTGCAACATACTCCGCTTTAGATGGATCTAATTTGATTGCCTTTTCGCAGAAATGGGACAGAAGCCTCAAAATTTTTGCTCTGCCACCTGACACGCGGCTGAGAGAACGCGCTGTTTCAAAGAAGAGTTTTGCATTGGCACCCTCATAGCGATCTAAGGATTTAGAAAGCAACTGCAGCTCAGCGAGGGCTACTTGTTCATCTGCCCTTTGTGTCATCTCCATGAGAACATTTAAACGCAACGCTTCCATGCACCTCTCATTTTGTTGGAGGATGCGCTGAACCATCTCCATAGCCTGGTCCCAGTCGCTCAAAGCGATGAGAATTTTCGCTTTCTCAATCAGCGCCGGCACCCAAGACTGTAGCGCGACGGCCTGATTCAGAAAGTCCAGTGCACGAGGGTACTGCTTGGCCATTTCGTAGTAACGAGCGCGGGCCTAAGCGAGCATTCGACAAACTTGCGTAAGATAAATTGGCATTAAATAAATAGACAACTCAAAGTGTATGGCCCGAGGCCCAGACCCAGCAGGCTTGCCATGAGGCTGTCTAAATCCCGCGGCGAGATGTCTGTGCTACTCGCCGCAACGTCCAAGAGTCGCACGGCCTGGCGGCGTTGTTCAAGTTCCTGGCGTGATGAGCCAGGGGAGGATATCTCAATCCACGCCCATAGTACTTGAGCCTGTTTTTGCATTCCAGTTGTCACAATCTGATCAACAGGCACTACCTAGAAGACAGGCACTTGCGCAGAAAAGTAACATGCACACATCACACATGACTTATAAGTGTCGCCGCAATTGACGCGGTTCTGCGACCCTCTTCACCAAATCACGCGACAAACTGAGCCACTCACGCGCTTCCTCCTCTTTGATGCTGTGGATGCCAGAATACCAATAGAATTGAGCTGCCAACAAGAGGCTGGGTTCAGATGCACGCTCTGCTTCGCTGGCCGCCTGGCTAGACAGCGCGTCCACCTCCTGGTAATCAACGTGTTCAGCAGTTTTATGAAAAAAGAGGAGCGCAACAATAGCGGGCAACTCAAGATCCCGCTTCGACTTAAGAGAACTCAGCTCCCGCAATGCTTCACCTAGGCGGCTTTTCCCGCTCGGTGCGTTACAAGCAACGAAACCAACCGCGACCGCACGCCACCAATTTATAGTGCTGGAATCCGAAAGCCCCTTGGCCAACAACTTGTTTGCCTCGTGTTCCAGATGCCTAAAGATCATTCCTGCATTTGCAAACTGTATTGACACCCATCCCGCCAACGCACCCCCAGAGCTCTTGGCGCGCATAATACGACAACAGTGCCGGCGTCATTGAACGCGACGACATATGCGTTGACGCGCCCGTTTGAATTTGTCGGGGTTAAGAAAGTATCAGGATAGAGGTGACTCTAGAGGTCTCCAAGGTCAGTGACGGTCGCAAGAGTTGGTGGTAGCGTTTTGGAAGGCTTACAGACGTCGGGAAGGGCTTTCGGGCAGGGGTTTTGGCCCGGCCGGGGCCGTGGACGAGGGCTTTCAGCCCGAACCTTTCGGCGCTTCACGCCGAAGTAGAATTCTGCGGTTTTTGACGGGCGGAAGGGGTGAAAACCAAGGATTGGGCCGAATTCTCCGGGGGCGCATTATCGGGAAAACCTCCTCGTGTCCTTCGCTGCTCTAGATCTCGGAAAAACCTCCTTGTGTCCTTCGCTGCTCTAGCTCAAACCGGCCACAGGGGGGTAGAACCCTAACATATTGTCCCGGTTCAACTGGGCCCGACCTACAAGACGAAGAACTGGCGAAAAAGAAAGCGCGCCTACTGCCAGCGGGTAATGGAGATGAAGACACCGAACATTTACCGGCGAACGTCGCTCGGCCGCACGACTTGATTGACCGATTCGTGGTCTCCAGGCACCAACAAATGACGATCGTAGCCCTCGACGCGAACGACAACGGTCTCGCAGCCACCAGCGGCGCGCCTTGCCAAGACGCTGCCAATGAGGACCGTCTGCGGGTGGATTTCGCACGCGCGAACCCATTTGCTCGGAAGCAAAGCAACAGGGATATTCACCAAGTCACCCACGACCGCGGGGCATGCCAGAAGGGCTGCGTGAAAGTCCTCACCGTCATATATTTCCTCCTCCTCGTCGCTACTAGGCATATCGGGAAGAATTGATGGTCTTAGTTAGGGTATGGCCCGTCCAGTGCGCGAGACAAATATTCTAAATGAATTTTCCCACGTCCGTTGGACGTCCGTTGGACGTCCGTTGTGACCCCCGCGCGCGCGGTGGACGGAGGACCTCTAGAGGACCTCCCGCCGGGCGACCGCCGATGAATAATTAATAATTCCTATGGCGCGCGCCAGCCCTATGGTTGTTTCGCGCACTGAGCCCGTCGAGGTACCCCCGGTAGGGGAATAAGGGCCGGCCCCTTGCCGTAGAAATTACTGACGCCTATGGACTGTGGGTAGTAAGGCGGAGAGTCAATATTACCCCACCAACTATCGTAATGGAGTTTGACCACGAACACTATTTTTTGGACCAATCCTCCGGGGTCTTATCTCGAAAACCTGAACACGTTGCTCCTCGGAGCGCGGAGGAGAAAAACGCAGAGTCGAGCAGTGTTCTCGAAGCGCTTACAACCCATGTTCAAGTGAGTATCGAATGTGAAATCGACGATGATCGGATTGGATAGGCTAGAATGAAGGCTCTTGGGCTTGTGGAACATTGGATCCCAGATTCAGATGACGACGCACGTTGCAATATCTTCGTGAGTGATCTTTCCGCTGCTACGAAGCTAATTGTTATATTGCAGAACCAGGTGGATCTCTAGTGTTCCCAACACTTCTCACATTTACGGAAATTCATATTCACATAGGTTGGCTCGAAGCCAGGACTTTGGAGTCGATCATTGTGTTTGATGAAAGGTTTGCGCGATGGTAGCATGCTCACCGCGATTGAACAGGCCCTCCGGTCTGGTTATGCTATCGCTGTTCTCAATCCCAACACAAATTCGGTCACGTTGTGTGCACTAGAGTTTCCCATCATTTAAGCGTCGCAGGTGGGTACTCCAGGGCGCAAACGACGTCCAATCACAAACTCGTTCTCGCCTGAAGATCACGTTCTCTATGTATGGGATACAGTTATTGCACCGACCTCAAACCTCGCTTCGATCTATCTCTTAACCAATGGGAACGGATCATCGCTTGCGGTCGACATTGTGAGATTGCGTCGTGCATCCTAGAGTATGTGAAGTGCGAGTATAAAGGTACAACGTCAAATGGTGCGATGCACAGAAAACCCTGGCGAAATAATGCGAATTCGCGCCATCGCGTGTGTTGAACCATCACAGCTTGTTGATGGCGGAGAATCGGGTGGCGATAATGCACCAAGCCACTGTGAAATCGTGTGTTTTTAAAACGTCATTCATATGCATGCCCGCCATAGAAGTTATTCTACGTCTCTTCAAACACAGGACGCAGCTACAAAGGCAGCCTTGCGCGCATTGACGCTAGCCTACGAGGGACACGACTCAGTACCATATCCGGTGCGGCTAATGGGCGCTGAAGAGAAGCTCGGATGTGCTTGTCTCTCTGTGGGGTCCGAAATTGGCGCTGACGTGCTGGCGCCTAATGTTGCGTCTTCTGTTGGGCGTTCACTTGATAGTGTGATGCGATTTTTTGAATTTGCGGCTAGCCCCCCACCAGCAGCTACAGAGCTCGGTGAAGCTTTTGCCGCTACTGAGGCTAAAGCTGCTGGCCTTGAAGCTGCCAACTCCCGTGTTCAGGGTGGCAAAGCTCGCAATGCAGTCGCGATTGTGCCTTCTACTCAAAACCAGATCAATCGGTCACTTGGCTTTATTGGACGCTTGCTGTTTGGCACTCGTGCGCGCTGCGTTGCTTCCAAGAAAGCTGGTGTACAACACCACGTGGTGTCAAGCTCACTATCTGTTTCGGATTTTGACCTTTACGTGTTGTTGGCAAGGGTGCATTTGGCAAAGTCATGCTTGTCCGGAAGAAACATGGCCAGGTGATATATCCTACAATGCACCTCGCGATTTGAAATGTACATTCAAAACTCAGGATGCGTCCCGTGTTTTTGCCATGAAGGTGCTGAAAAAATCTGTCATTGCTGCGAAGGGACAGGCAGAGCACACACGTTCAGAGCGTTCCATTTTGTGTGAGATTCGCCACCCATATATAGTTCGACTCCGCTATGCATTCCAGTCAGAGGAGAAACTCTACCTTGTGACTGATTACTACAATGGCGGCTCACTGTTTTACCACCTCCGAAAAAGTCGTGGTTTCTCGGAACCACGCGCCTGCTTCTATGCTGCAAGTTCATGATGAAATACTCTTGCTGGATTTTTTTTCTCTAGGCTGAACTTATTCTCGCGCTTGACCACCTTCATCATTCGGGCATCATCTATCGTGATTTGAAGTTGGAAAATATCCTGATGGACTATCTTGGCCACGTTGCCCTCACCGACTTTGGTCTTTCTAAGGAGAATGTGACCGATGTACGCCACCAGTGTATCAATTTTTCGGGAGCGATGTATCATTTTTACGCACTGTCCAGGTGTTTAATTCACAGCTCACCACATTCTGTGGCACTGCGGAATACATCGCTCCCGAGCTCCTGAAGGGGCAGAAATATGGCGCCTCCGTCGACTGGTGGTCGTTTGGAATCTTGCTATATGAAATGATGGGGTTTCGTACTCCATTTTATGATAAAAATCGTAAACTCATGTTTCATGGTATCATAAATTTGGAGCCTAGTTTCCCGCCACACTTCACTTCTGCTAGCAAGTCAGTCCTATCGAAGCTGCTCAAGAAGGAACCAGCCCAGCGCCTCGGCTCAAATGGTGCTCATGAAATAAGAGATTCGGAATTTTTCTCTGTCATTGATTTTCAGCAGCTTTTTTCGTATGAACCTGAGCTGCCAATACATGTACATTTCCTTTTTACCGGCCGTGTAATCTAGGCGTGATATCCAACCACCATTTAAGCCAGAAGTCTCAAATGAAGAGGACACCAAGTATGTTCCCAAAAATTATCTTTCCGCAAAGCCAGAAGACTCAGTTGATCATTCAGCAAGCAAACAGAAAGCCCCTCAGCACTTTCAAGGCTTCACATTTAATCCAACTTCACTATAGCAGCTGCATCCTCACACGTTATCAACGAGCAGCTAGTACTCATGCCATTGAATCCAGCCCGCGGGAAATACGACGCGTTCTAGTTAGTTTGGACCCCAACCGGGCCCCCGGCGCCTGAGTAAAGCCCCCAGCCGCCGACCAAAGATTGTCGGGGGCGTTTCGGGTTCCCTGGGGTCCCGTCCGGCGCAGGGGGGGTTTCTGGGCGAGGTTCTGTCGCCGCCGCCGGCCGCGGGGCCGCGGCGGGTGATCACACTCAGGCAGGAAGATGGTGGCTGTGCCCAGGAAACTGAGGAGGATAGGCGGAGGGGGGTGATGATCACACTCAAGGAGGAAGATGGTGGCTGTGCTCAGGAAGCTGAGAAAGAGGGTGATCACACTCAAGCAGGAAGATGGTCCTCAACTTGAACAGGCAGAGGAGGAGGGCATGTCGTGCGGGCCTGTCTGAGCGCAGGCTGTCATGAAAACTGCACTTTTTATTGCACTAGTTTCTAGGGGCCCCTGCGCGACGGTGCGTGCCGCGGTCCCCGGCCACGTCCCCGGCCCGTGCCCGGCCCGTGCCCGGGGCCCGTGCCGAGTGCCGGGCCCGTGCCGGGCCGCGTGGCCCGTGCCCGGCCCGTGCCCGGGGGCCCGTGCCGAGTGCCGCGCCGCGTGCCGGGCCCGTGCCGGGCCGCGTGCCCGGAGCGCATTTACCGTGCCGGAACCCCCGTGCCCGCCGTCCCCGGCCCCGGTCCCGGGGCCGGACCGTCGTGCAGGGGCCCGTATACGACCGCGATCGACCCAGCGACACCCAAGAACTCCCGCGACAAACCCCGGGACGGTACCGATCCACCCCCCGGGCACAGAGGAACGCGCCCGCTAGCCCTTCCCCACGTTCTAGGCGCATAACTAAATAGAGGGAGAAACCCCCCCGGGTCGACCGCGGACGGAGCCACCACCCGTAGCTCAATTTCCATGTGCCCAGCTGACGGAAGCCGAAGCAGAGAGTACACAGGGCGTCCTTGGGTTGGCTTCGAGAAAGCCCAACGGTGACAGAAAGGATTGCAGCGGTTTGCAGCCTGTGCCACACAATTTCATGATGCAGCTTGCGCATGGTAGAGTAGCGTACTGTAGCCTAGTATAGTCATTGAGATAGAGAGATAGAGAGGGAGAGGCAGACTGCAAGGTCGGTCTATATTCTTTGCAGTCCGCTCCGGCGTCCCCGGCGGCGGCCGCGGCGCATTAGGCTGCCTCCCTGTCCCGGAGTTTACTATCTCGTTACGAGTTTACTATCTCCGTTGCGTAGGTGGTTCAATGATGGATAGTTAATCTAGCAATATACTTCTGCAAGTTCTTTATTGGTTAGGGTGACACTTCAGGCCACATTGTCGCGGGTGATGATAGAGCCAAATCGGTTCGTTCTACTGCAAATTGTGCGATCATGAACCTGTGATGGCTCAGGTATGGACATCCCTTACTCAGACCAAAGTACCATGAGTTTCGGGTGGTGCCGGAGTGTTATCGATGTCGCCAGAACGCAGATAAGATCCCGGGAACGAAGCGAAAAATCCTCGATGCGACAGTGATCGCTTGGGGGCACAAACCGCATGTTAACTGTGTATCATCATATCACCACATGTTATCATGTTCGTACGCTGAACAGGTTCTGTGAGGATTGCTACGAGAAATACAAGGAGAAGCACAAGCTCTCTGATAAGCGAGAGCGCATCCTAGTGGCGGGGCAGGGCGTGGTAAAACAAACTCTGGAGCATGGTGACGAGACCCACTATCCAGATGTCCAAGGCCGTGTCTTGCCAGTCGCTCGAGGGTGATTTGACGAGCAGTCTAATTATATTACCTATCCAAATACTCGCTAGGTCTTCGATAAGGTGAGTATTCTTTATGAGATGCGAATCCTTGGGAAAACTGCCGTGGTGGACTCCACCGCAATGCAGGGAGGACGGTCAATATGGTTCGAAAGTGGATGTTCAGGACCTTGTCTTCATGTTCAAATTCTGTGTGCAAATCGAGTCTACCAAGCTAGCATTCTTGACGTAAATCGTGGTCCAGCGTCGGAGACTAGAACGTTGGCACAAGTTTGATTGCGTGCGACAGGTTCCTGATCCGTATTGCGCTGTATATTGGGAGAACAGATTTGTTGGGGCGACACAAGTGATAGACGGGAACACGGATCCGATCTGGAGTGGTGAAACATTCGTCGTTCCGCTTGAGAATCCTGTTGCGAGGTGGGTTGAGCGTGCAGCGCTGCGTGGAAACAAACGTGAACATGGAAACCCGAAATATGTCGATCCCATCCTCCGTCTTGAAATGTATGACTATAATACCATTTTCAAAGATGTCTTTGTGGGCCAAGTGTCCTTATCCCCGAGGCAAATTGTCAAAGTACTTGCAACTGGCGGGTCTGAGCCTAGAGTCTACCCATTGCGCCCAAAGATGCCAACCGGGACCATGCGAATTGCCATCGGTCGGACCACTCATTTGAAGACGGGCATGACCCACATCGTCATCAAGGTCGAGAATTGCAAGAAGCTTGCGTATAGACAGCGCGATTGATATTCGTGCTCACTCCGCAAATCAAGTTCCACGTCTCTTCAAATCTTAGGCGTGCGGATACATTCTCGGAAAGTGACCCTTACCTCGCCGCCTTCTGGGATGGCCAGCCTCTGGGTGAGTCCCCAGTGATATACGACTGTGCTGACCCAAAATGGAACGAATGTATCTTCCACTTCCCTGTCTTTGAGGTGTCAAGGGTCCAACTTAGGGACGGCGATGGCACGCGGGATGCCCTCCGGCGTTCTGTTTCCGCCCCCAAATCCTCTCAGGCTATGGCTCAGAGCCTTGATCGAAAGACGCTACTTATTGAGGTTCGCGACTACGACCGTATTGGCGAGCACAAAATCCTCGGAGAGATCGAGCTTAATGGCGAGGCAATCGCGCAGCTAGTGAAACGTTCGGATGCTTCCTCAAAAAATGCAGACCCGAAGAGTATGAAGGGCAGCTTATCTTCCATTGTCGTAGCACGGGCCAAGTATAGTCTGGACATTGCTGCCGCTAGTGATTGGCTGTTGAACATTTTGAGCTGTGGTTTGTATCGCACGTCATCAGCCGAGTCCAGTACAGCATTTTGATATTGAGCTCTAACCAGCATTCAGTGGAATTGCAGATGAGGTTTAGCATGACACGATCAGGTTGGCGACCAGGCCGTCAGGAAATTCCGCCTCGAGACGAAGTTTGAAGAGAGTCCAGACAAAGCCTGCTACCACAAAAACAGTCAGTGTCAAGCAGCTGAAAAAAATGTGCTTCGCTCCGGCGCTTGACATCCCACTTGTGCTATCAGAAAAGCACAACGGAAGCAAGCGTGTCCAGGGCAGCATTGGTTGTCGATTCATCTACCATACACGCGGCAAAGTTCTTCGAGGTATCGACGTCGGTGTCCAGCAAATGTCACTGGGGGAGCGCGCCAAGCTCTCCATGAGATCAGACTACGCGTTTGACATTGTGCGCCCTGGTCCCAAGCTGCACAAGGGCAGCGAACTCGAGGTTATCATTGACTTGGTCTCAATAGCCGACCGGGGCAGTTGGATCACCTATTGTCAAAGAGCACTTAATGGGCAATACCGCATTCACGAAAACAAATTGTTGGTTGTATGGGAACGAATTGACACTGCGTTTCCACGCTTTGCTAGCTGCCTTGTGAGCCTCGTGAGCGTGCTACATCAATGCTATGGCACAATCCTCGCCATGATATGTTTCATTATTTTTTGCCTCTGCAAAGCCTGCATGAGGATTGGTGAAAAGAAACGAAAGGAGAGGCGCGAGCACCGCAGAAGAGAGAGAGAAGCTGCAATACTAGCGTAATTGTCCGAGTCCTACTATGCTTTTGAAGTGGGGAGTCTTCATCTCCTGCAGGCGCGCAGAGTCGGGCATCTCCTTTCTTCAGGGAGATTCAGACGAAGATACGCAAGTCGAATCTATCAGCGATGGGGAGCCGGATGGGGACATGCACGTCGATCTCATGGATGTGGACGAAGAGCTCACTGAGACAGAGAAGGCAGCGCGCCATCGTCGTGAAATTGGTGGTGCACGTGACATGTTCTCAGGGAAGGAAAGGCACCAGCAGACCAACCCGCTATCAGAAGGCCTTCGGTCGAAGATCAAGCACAACGTGTATACAGGCGAAGCAGGCGAAGATATACAATCTGTTTCAACTAAGGGCAAATATGATACCAGCGGCCAAGATAGTGATGATTCTCTCGATGACAGGGACGTCGGGAACCCGTTTTCTCAGTAGTTCGATATTATCAGAGAAAGCGCAGTTTACTCACAGGTCGACACTCCCAGACAGGGCCGGCGTCTAGACGACTGTATATCATTATGGCCGAGTTTCGGGCGGCAGCGCCCAGGCGACCCGGGGTCAAACTTACCTATTGGATTTTGAGCAGGAGCTTCTCTCTCGGGGATAATCGAGCTCGAGCTTGCGATGGCAGACAGAAACGACCGAGAAAAGGCCCAAGAAACAATAAGAAGCTCAAAGATTCAATAGTGAATGGAAGCAGCACACGAAACCCGTTCCGCACTGCTACTACATCACCGAGGACTGTAGAACGACCGAGACCAACCCCTACCAAAACGACTCCGTATGCCGCCCCGTGCGATTGTCTCTAGACGGAAGGGACCCGACTCACCTCGCTTCAAAACACCAGCCCAGACCTTTGTCAGGATTGCAGACTTGATAGGTGCCGTTGTCTTTTTCGCTCACAAATTTTAGCTGTGTGCTGGAGCGACACGTGCGAATTTTGTGCTATGATGAGAAATGAGAAGCTCAACTACAAGCCTAGTATGCAAGGCTCGCCACAGGGTAGTACGCAAGGCTCGCCACAGGGAAAATGCACTGCAGCATCTAAATCCAACGCGCCTCGGCGAGAAGGCGAAGCGCAGGGCCCCGTTGTAAAGGAATGCAAGCTCCACCGCAGACTAGAAAGGTATTTACACTGCCCGATATATCCCGGGATTTAGCAACACTAAACCGGCAGCGCAAACCGGCGGGCAGCCTATGCAACCCCAGACTCCTCGGTCACTAAGAGTGTGCAAGAGAAAGAAAGAAAGAAAGAAAGAAAGAAAGAAAGAAAGAAAGAAAGAAAGAAAGAAAGAAAGAAAGAAAGAAAGAAAGAAAGAAAGAAAGAAAGAAAGAAAGAAAGAAAGAAAGAAAGAAAGAAAGAAAGAAAGAAAGAAAGAAAGAAAGAAAGAAAGAAAGAAAGAAAGAAAGAAAGAAAGAAAGAAAGAAAGAAAGAAGAGGATACCGCATCCGCGTATCCTCGTACAAAGATACAAGTAGGCGTCTAAGTATATCCGCTGGATTGTGAACCTAAAGCTAAGTAAGAACGAATAATGAGCAACCAATATCCTAACTAGGATTACATGCTCTCAGCAGTGTAAAAAACAACCGACGCCTAGACACGCCCGTACGAAATAACAATGGATGGTGGACTGCATGGCATACGGCTTTGGTGGACTAACAGGGCCTCCCTGGAACAAGCTCGGGGAGAACGCAGATTTTTTGGTTGCCTATGACACCATCGGTCGTCACTTCAAACAGATTTACCATCGACATGGTAGTAATTCCAACATCAAAGTCAGGAGTGTGTCGGTATGGATCGGCGCAGCCGTCTTTGACGACATACCCATAGCCGCATCACACATCTTTACCTTCAAATGCCTCAGCAACTCATCACTCAAACCCAACCCTTGGATGTTAGTAGAAATCATATAATCCAAAAATATAAGCCGCGCCGCGGCGGCCCCGGACCCCGGGGAAGCGGCGAGCTGGGAGAGGACCACCACAACCAGCAGTTTTATTTAGCTGGATGATGATAGGTGGTCTAAACTCACTAACCCGTTGCCGGAAACATATTGTACTGCCGTAATTGCAATTTTAGGGACCCCCTAATTCGATGCTTCAAGTTGCCAGCGCGAGTTGCCAGTAGTTGCCTCGGTGGCAACTCCTCCGGTTTTGACTTTATGTCCGCTCTTTATGTCCACGCCGTGAGTGCTGCATATGGGCAGAGTCAGAGCCTACTTCCCATGTAAGCGCCCGGGCCGCTTCGCGCCCAACGCCAGCCCGCGGATTCCACGGGCTCCCCAGACAGAAGTGCGTGCGCAAGGAGGGCACTCAAGAGATCGCTCAAGGGAGTCCAGGGGGAGGGGGCAGCGAGGCCAGGAATTGGATATTTCAACACCCCCGCGCCCCTCCCGTGTCCAGGTATTGTTGCGGCATTCCCCTACGCGCATCTTGAACGGGGCATTTCATTTGCAAAGCCCTGATATCACACGACAGTCTCACTTTGGAGGTGTAAAGCCCATCTCGGCACGATATTTTTGTCTCTCAACCTGAGTGCTGAGATCCATACCCCAGTTTTGGCTGGAAGTGCGCTTCTTGAAGGCTCGGTCTGTCTTGAAGACATGTTTCAGATCGCATGACGAGGCACCAACTGCAAAAACTGCGGACGGGTCTGAATTAGCCTGGGCACGTAAAGCCTCGCGTAGGTTTGTACCATTAGCCCAAGCCGGCATATGTTTGCGTTGACGTTCTTCGTTATCCTCGTCATCGTCCGTAGATTCTTCACGATCGCTGATCTCATAGGTATCAACCGGCGAGAGCGACTTAGGCATTGCGTTTTGCGCGGACGTTTTCACTAATCCCCGATCACCTTGTCCAGGAGTAATATGTTTGGGCGCGGTCGCAGCAGATGTCGGGGTTGATTTGTGCATAGTTGCTACAAAAGTGCCTGAGATAGACTCGTCTTCTTTGTTCTCGCTGATAACTGCAGCATCTGCGCGCTGAAAATAATCTTTTTGTTGACGGCGCTTCTCAGCCTCCTCCCCGCGCTGGATTGCTGCGATCCGACGCACAGCGTCTTCAGTCTCCTTGAATTCCCGCTCCTCTGCTAAATGTTTAGCACGTGCCGCTTGCTTTTGCTCTTGGACATCATTTGTCTGCATTGCTAGGTAATCGAGTTGCGCACATGTCTGTTCGGCAGTGTTAGTTGACTGAGTGTTGGTCGACCGAGCATATGTAGACTCGCTGCCAACAAGTTCAGAAAGTGTGCTCGTCGGCAGCCTAGAGACGGCTTGATTGTCGAAATCCTCCGATGTGAGCAGTTTGATTGGAATGGCTGCTCCCACTTGTGGCGCAATGGTCTGCATTTGCACCAGCTCTGGTGACACAGCAAGCTCCAAAGTCACGATTGCTGATGATTTCACGGCTGCAGGAACGCTTGAGTGAGGGTGACTGTCAACAGTAGATGTTCCGCGCTCGTACATCAGAGGAGCCTTGAGGGCCTCCACACATTGAGATCCATCATCTTCATCATCTTGCATCACCGCGCTCGCAAACTCTCGTACCAAGCACGCCTCAAGGCGATCTTTGAGCTCTTGCTTTTTACCTGATGCGCGAAGGCCGCGAGCCTTCAGCTCTCGCTGAAGATCTTTGAAAGTGTACCTACATGCGGTGGACCTGATGAAGTCAATGTCAAGTCTAACAAATGGACACTATTTGCAGCACAATTCAGTTGCGATGCGTGCCTTGCTTAAGAATTTGTTTG